TTTGCTGTGGGCGATGACGTGCTGCTGCTGCCGCCGAAGCGCGGCAAAGTGGGCAAGCAGCTGGGCCGCAACCGCATCGTGTGCCGCGTGGTGGAGATCAAGCGGCCCTTTGGCGTGACCATGTACCGGCTGCGGAGCGGAGCTGGAGTGGTGGAGGGTATGCATCAGGCCAGCAGGCTATCTAAGGCGCCACCCAGCCTGGCCAGCGAGCTGACCTTCAGCGGCACGGCGCAGCGAGGAGTGCCTGTGGTGTCTCTCAATGTGGCGATGGCGGCGCAGCCCGGCGGCGGCAAGGCAGCCGTGCGCTGCGGCTGCCGCGGCGCCTGCACCCGGAACTGCAGCTGCAAGAAGAATGGTGCGCGGTGTGGGCGGCACTGTGGCTGTATAACCGGTAAGGGTGGCAATTGCAAGAACCATTGAAGAAGTGTGCCTTGTACGCTTTGCCGTCTCCGCTGAAAGGTGCTGCCGCCTGTGGCGGCTTCATATTTCCTGTTCATTTCTGTTGTTCGGTCTCTCTGTTCGTGTTGGTTGGCTTGTAAGAGTTGTATTTCTGACGCTAGAGAGGTGAGATGACAGCGGGAGCGTTGAAGCGTGCATGCCATCACGTGTGCAAGCAGCCCCGCTCCGCCCCGCTCAACCCTCAAACATGGCTCTATGGGGTCAGTTCACGTATGGGAGGGGAGCGCCGCGCGGGCTGCCAGGAGCGAGCGGGGGCGGGGGTTGCCCAATCGGGAGGGTGCCACATCAGGGGGCAACACATGCATGCATGGGGCCGCTAAACAAGCCCAGGCTGCTTCTGCAAGCTCACATCAACATCAAATACCAATCTGTATGCCTGCCAGCCTGCGTGAGCCAGCCGCCGCCGCAATGGATGTGGCAGCGGGCGAGGCAGCAGCGGAGGCGCCTCCCGAGCAGCAGCATGAGCAGGAGGGGCATCCCCCCACGTCGCGCATCTGCGTTAAAAACCTGCCCAAGTATGTCGATGACCGGCGGCTGCGGGACCAGTTTGCGGCCAAGGGAGAGGTCACCGACGCCAAGGTCATGCGCACCAGGTGCGAGGGAGGCGATGGCCGCGCCGCCAGCCCGCATGCATGCCTCCCGCTGGCGGCATGGACGGCGGCGGCGGGCGGGGCGCCGGCGCCCCGGTTGCCCACTGTGCGTGCCTGCCTTCTCACGGCCCGCGCTGGGGTCTTGCAGGGACGGCAAGTCGCGCTGCTTCGGCTTTGTGGGCTTCCGCACTCCTGCCGAGGCCGAGGCAGCGGTACGGTACTTCAACAAATCCTTCATGGACACCATGCGGCTGGCGGTGGAGGTATGTGCTGTGTGTGTGCGCATGCTGCTGGGTGTGTGCCATGGACATCATGTGTGCTCTTCCGTGTGTGTATCGTGCGAGCGGCGCCAGCGCAGGGTGCCGTTTTTATGTCAGATGTCGGAATCAGTGCTCCCCGCCAGGACTGTTCCCGAACTGTTCCGCGGCCCCCACCTCGCCGGCCTGCAGTTTGCTTACAAGTTTGGCAGCGGGGAGGCGCCGCGCGCGTGGAGCAAGTACACAGAGGGCACCAGCGCACACAAGCGGCTGACCGCGCCGCCGCAGACAGGCGCCAACGACGTCCCACTCGGCGAGGGCGCCAAGGGCAAGGCGAAGCAGCGTCGCGGGCGGGAGCCGCTGCCAGAAGAAGGTGGGCGGGCGCGGCCGCTGCTGCCTGCCAGCTCCCAGGGATGTGCCATCAGGGGCTCGGCAAGCCGTGCCGTACACCAGGCCTGCGGGAGGGCCCTGTGGGAGGGCTGCACCACGCCACGGCCGGTCGCCAACGGCCCCACCGCTCTTGCCCGCCTGGGTGGCGCGCCGGTTGCTGACTGGCGGCCTGCCGGCTCGCCCGCCGGCCCTGCATCCCGCCTGCAGCGGACCCCAAGCTGCGGGAGTTCCTGCAAGTCATGCAGCCCCGCAGCAAGCAGGCCATCTGGACCAACGATGACCTGCTGCCGCCTGGGACGGCGGCCGCCGCTGCGTCGCAGCCGCAGCAGCAGCGGCGGCGCGGCGGCGGCCTCGCCGCGGCGGCAGCAGAGGACGGCAGCGCCTCCGATGAGGAGTATGAGGAGCTGCCGGCGGCGGCGGGCGGCGCGGCGGCCACCCCCAGCAGCAGCGAGGGCGAGGAGAGCGAGGAGGAGGAGGAGGTTGAGGAGGCGGAGGATGGGGTGGTCCGCGATGCCGCGGTGTCTGACCTCGACTACCTGCGCAGCCGCGTCAAGGCCAGCTTTGATGACGACGACGACGCCTTTGCGGCTGGCGGTGCGGCAGCGGCAGTGGGAGCGGGCTCTGCCTCCGAGGAGGAGTCCGAGGGGGAGGAGGAGGCAGAGGGGAGCAGTAGCGGCGGCAGCGAGGAGGAGGAGGAGATGGGAGGGCCTCGCTCAGATGCCGAGGTTAGCAGCGAGGAGGAGGAGGAGGAGGCAGCAGCGGCGGCGACCCGGCGGCAGCAGCAGCGGCAGCGAGAGCGGCAAAAGGCGGCGGGCTCGGCTGATGCAGAGCTGGACGCCATTTTCGGCGGCGGTGGGGTGGGTCAGGACGAGGAGGATGCTGACATGGCAGATGCTGAGGTGGCAGATGCCAGCGAGGACGAGGGCAGCGAGGGGGGAGACGAGGAGGCTGTTGGCTGGGCTGAGGATGGGGATGGGGATGGGGAGGGAGGGCGGCAGCAGGCGGGCGCCACGGCGCAGGGCCCTGCCGTGACCGAGGCAGAGGAGGAGGCCCACATTGCCGACACCGGTCGCCTGTTTGTGCGGAACCTGCCCTACTCAGGTGGGCAGCGCGGCTGGCATGCCCAGCAGCACAGCGCAGAGGGAGGCTGGCAAGCCGGGGGCTGCTGTGGGCCGAGCAGCTGGGCTGGCTTGCGCTGGCGCTGCTGCCGTGTGCATGCCCGGCGGCTGGGCGCGGAGCGTGGCGGCGCCCCGCTCGTGTGCTGCCCCTGGCTGACCCGACTCGGCTTCTGGCACACGGCCGCCTGCGCCTGCAGCGACCGAGGCTGAGCTGCAGGCGTTGTTTGAGGGGTATGGGGATGTGTCGGAGGTGCACCTGGTGCTGGACAGGTGCGCTGGGCGTGCTGGGCGTGCTGGGCATGCTGGGACCGCCCGCTGGCGGCGGCCGTTTGGCCGCCTGCAGGCGGGCGCGGCTTTGGGGATGCCGCATTCGTTGCTGAGCTGAAGTTGCCTGCCTGGCTCCCCTGCCCCCCTGCCTGCAGAGCCAGCAAGAAGAGCAAGGGCTTTGCCCTGGTGCAGTTTGCTGACCCTCAGGACGCGGTCAAGGCGCACGCCGGTGAGGCTGGGAGGGGTGGGGAGAGGGGGAGAGAGAGAGAGAGAGAGAGAGAGAGAGAGAGCATTGGCGGCGAGTGGTGGTGTGGTTGCGGGCGAGAGGGGGCGGCGGTACTGCCGTGGCGCGACGCGAGCGCAGGCCTGTCCTGATCAGACTGGCCCCATGGGCTCAGTGCATTGCTTTCCTTATCTTGCCTCTGTCCTTGCTGCCTTTCTTTCTCTCCAGAGCTGGATGCCAGCATCTTCCAAGGCCGCCTCATCCACATCCTGCCCGGCAAGCGGCCGCCGCCACCGCCCGAGGGAGCGGCGGCGGGCGAGGGCGAGGGCGAGGGCGAGGGCGGCGGCGGCGCCAAGCGCGGCGCCACCAGCAGCTACAAGGAGCAGAAGGAGGCGGCTCTTAGGGCCACCGCCGGCAACAGATCGGCTTGGAACACGCTCTTCATGCGGGCAGACACGGTGGCAGACGCAGTGGCTGCACATTATGGTGGGGAGCCGCCGCCGCCCGCCCACCCATGGGGGCCTGCATCGCCGCCGCGCTCGGGCTGCCGCTCCCAGCCGCCAGTCGCTCCCTGTGCGCGTCTGCCTGTGGGAGCACGCTCGCCTTTCCGCCTGCCTGCCTGCTCGCCCGTTTGCCCGCTGGCCGTCCTGCCGACGCCACTAGCCCCTCGGGCCTCTGCTCCACCTCCCCCTCACCCCTGCGCCGCTCTGCCACCCGGGCCGTCGCCCCCTCCCTGCCTCCCTGCGCGCAGGCGTGAGCAAGGCGGAGCTTCTGGATCGGGAGGCGGGTGACATGGCGGTACGCATGGCGCTGGGAGAGACGCAGGTCATCGCCGAGACGAAGCGGGCGCTCGGGGAGGCGGGTGGGTGGCGGCGCCGCACGTGGGCTTCCTGCTTGCGAGCCAAGCCAAGCTAGGGGCCCCTGCGGGAGTACGCTGGGCCGGCGTGGCCCCAGGGCGCGTCCCCAGCACCGCCCCTGCACGCGTCCGCGCGGCCCCCACCCTCCCCACCCCATCCGCGTGTGCAGGCGCCGATGTGGCGGCGCTGGAGGCGGCCGCGGCGGCGGGCGGCAAGGCGGCGGCCAGCCGCGGCGTGGCGCGCAGCGACCGGGTGCTGGTGGTGAAGAACCTGCCCTTCACCGCTTCACTAGAGGAGCTGGAGGCGTTGTTTGGGACCATAGGTGGGCTGTTGTTAGTGGTGCTGGTGGTGTTGGCGGGGCTTCTGGGCACGAGCATGTGCTTCATGGCGGCGGCTGTCTGTGGCATGGTGCTGCGCTTTTTTGTGTTGCTGTTCGTGGCAGTGGGGCTGCGTGGTTGAGGGGCGGTGGCGAGGGGTGCCCCCACCCGGCTGCCTTTGATTCCTGTGCGTGCTGCCCCGGGTGTGCAGGCGCGCTGGGGCGGCTGGTGCTGCCGCCCACCCGCACGCTGGCGCTTGTTGAGTACCTGGAGGCTCAGGTGGGGTGTGTGTGCTGGGGTGGGCTGGCACACTGCTGGTGTTGCTGGTGCGGGTGTGTGTGGGCTGTGAGCGGCCTGGCCGGGACAGCCACCTCCTCGGCACCTTGCCCTTGCCCTTCCTCTACCTCTATCTCTGTCTTTCTCCCTGCTGGCCCTGCCCTCCACCCCTCCCCACCTTGTACCTCCTCTGCAGGATGCGCGCCGCGCGTTCAAGGCGCTGGCATACAAGCGGTACCAGCATGTACCGCTGTACCTTGAGTGGGCGCCCAGGACCATCTTCTCCACCCCGCCGCCGCCCCGCCCCGCCGCGGGCACCCCTGCCGCTGCCCCCGCTGCCGCTGCCGCTGCTGCGGCGCCGGCAGGCAAAGCGGGCAAGGCGGGCAAGGGCAGTGCTGGCAAGGCTGCAGGGGAGCTGCTGACCGGGGTGGCAGAGGCGCAGGCGGAGGAGGTGGAAAGCAGCTCCATCTTCGTCAAAAACCTGGCATGGGCCACAGAAGACGCGGCCCTCAAGGCGCACTTTGATGCTGCAGTGTCGGCAGCAGGTGGGCGCCGGGCACCGCTGGGTGCCTGGCAGGGGCGTGCACGGGCTGCCGCAGGGCCGAGCGCCTTGCTCTGGCGTTGTTCAGGAGAAGAAGAAGACTGGGAATGTCTGGCTGACTGGCCGAGGGACAGGCGTAGCAGCTGCGCGCTGGACTAAGCCTCTAAACCTACAGGAGCCCCTGCAGCCTCCACCCCACTGCCTCTGTGGCAGCCCCTGCTCTCGGCCCTGACCATCCTCCCTGGCTGCTGCTGCTGCTATACCGTCTGTGCCTGCAGGCGGCGCCGTGCGGGCGGTCAAGGTGGCCAAGCGCAAGGGCCCCGACGGCAAGCTGCTGTCGGCCGGCTTTGGCTTTGTGGAGTGCAGCAGCGATGCGGCGGCCAAGGCGGCTGTCAAGGCGCTGCAGGGCACCGCCCTGGACGGCCACAAGCTGGTGCTGCAGCTGTCCACCAGCCGGCCGGGCGGCGCGGCGGGCGAGGCCGGCGCGGGCAAGCGCAAGGCGGACGGTACCGGCAGTACCGGCGGTGCGGCGGTACTGCCGGATACCTGCAAGGTGGTGGTGCGCAACGTGGCCTTTGAGGCCACCCGCAAGGACATCATGGGGCTGTTCACGCCCTTTGGACACGTCAACAGCTGCCGCCTGCCGCGCAAGTTTGACGGCACGCACAGGTGAGGGCGGGCCGGCGGCCGCGGGCCTTGAGTGTGTGTGCTGTGCTGGCAGCGTGTGTGTGCTGTGCTGCACAGGAGACCCGCCTGCCGCGGCTGCCCCATGGCTGCCCGCGCGGCTCCTGCGGCGGCGCCTCCCCCCGCCACCCGCCCGCCCGATGCGCTGCTCAGGCCCCTCGCTGCCGCCCCGCAACCTCCCCGCCGCCGCTGCGCTGCCTCCCTGGCTGCAGGGGCTTTGCGTTTGTGGACTTTGCCACCAAGCAGGAGGCACGCAACGCGATGGAGGCGGTGCAGGGGGCGCACCTGTATGGCCGCCGCCTGGTGCTGGAATGGGCCGAGGAGGAGGGAGGGCTGGATGAGCTGCGGGCCAAGACAGGTGGGTAGCATGCGATTGAGCATGCCGGCCAGGCTGGCCCGGGCTGGCCCGGCAGCAGCAGCGGGGCTGCGCTGGTTTGTTGTACTGCTTCCGGTGGGGGAGGGCTGGGCTGGAGGACACAGGTGTGTTGCGGTTTGGCCCAGGTAGAGGCTCTGCACTGGGCGGGTGGCGCCGGTGGCTGCCCATGCCTCGCCCTTCCCCTCTGTCCCCTCACCGTCTCTCTCTGGCCCTCCCTGCAGCGGCCAAGTACCGAGGCGAGGAGGCGCTGGAGGGCGTGGCAGAGGCGGCGCAGGCGCAGCGGCAGAAGAAGCGGCGGGAGTGAGCTTCGGCCGGAGCCGGGCTTGGGCGGCTGGTGGGAGGGCCGTGCTGGGCCACACCCCGGGCCCCCAGCTTCCGTTGCTGGGCATCATTGGCTGCGTATGCCTTGCGCCCCTTGTAAAGCGCCAGCAGGGCCTGTGCCTGACCATCTCCCTCTCCCGTGTGGTGGCTCGGGGCCTCCTTACTGCTTGGGAGTGCTGCTGGAAGTGGGGAGGCAGGAGTCGAACACAGTACGCCGCCGGCAGGGCTTGCCTGCCCACCCCCAGCCTATCCCGGCTGCTCTCAATCTTCCCCTGCCGGCGTGCAGCTTGTGTGTGGGGGCAAAATGGTTACATTGCCAGGGAGCATATATCACACGCAACAAGCGGCATGGTGCTACAGTGTAAGTGTTGGGAGGTCAGTGCCGGGGAGGCGGCTGCACGCCGCCTCTGCCATGGGCGGCGGCTGGCTGGGAGGTTCATCAGAGGTTGCCCCGCACCTTGTGCACGCACACCGCCACTCCCGACACCACCGCCAGCCCTGCGTAGATGCCCACAGCCACCCACAGGTTGCCCACCGCCGTCTCTCGCTGCTCCCCTAGCGGTTCCACCTCTTCCCCCGGCTCGGCCTTGGGCTCAAACCACTCGCCTGCGGGGCGGCGGCACACAAAAACGCGGCAGGCGGTCAGCGGCAGCACGCGCGGCGTGGCCGGCCGGCAGCAGGCTGAGCAGCAGGCTGAGCAGCAGCGGCCCACCACAGCCTGGCGAGGCAAGCCGACAGGGCGGGGCGGGGCAACGGCAGCGTCCCCTGCCGCACCTGCATACGGGTAGCCATTATTGATGAGGCTGGCCAGCACCGACAGGAAGAGGACGGCAAAGACACTGAGGCCCAGGCAGAAGGAGGAGCCTGCAAGGGTGCGGCGGCAGGGGTTGTGACAGGCGACGGGGGTGGCAGGGCAAGGCGCTGGCTCTCCCCCAGGGCCCCGGGCGCGCTGCGCCGCCGTCCTGTGCCACCGCTGGTGACGGCCCTGCTGCTAGCGGCCTGGGACGCCCAAAGCCCCAGCAGAGCGCTCACCAGTTGGCCCACACATCTCGTGCCGAGCCCCGCCGCCTCGCGCCTAGCCAAACACCCCTGCAGCGTCGGGTGCGCCCACTGGGGGGGTCCTGGGCCGCCGATCAGCACAGGCAATGTGGGTCCCAGGGCAGGGCTTCAGGGTTGGACAGGTCAAGCTGCAAGCGTTGGTCGTTTGAATGCCTGCGATCAGGCAACACGCCGGCCGCGGGTTAGAGCGCGGCAAACCCTCCCGAGCATTCGTACCGGCTGTCCTGCTTGAAGGGCCCTCCTGCAGTTGCGGGGCGCTGCGCATTGCCAAACATTCCCGCCAGCCCTCACGGGCTTTTTGTTGGCCCTCTGCTTGAGGTCCCCCGCCCCCTGTCACGCCTCCACGCCTTGAGCGCCGACAGCTCTTCCTATTGCGTAGGCGTCCCACAACTGAATTTCAGTCATCACCACCCCGGCACAGCCACCATGAGCTTCAGCATGCTGCACAGCCGTGGCGGCGCGGCGGTGCCAGCCCTGGGGGAGCCCTGCGCCCGGCACAGGGCCGCCCCGGCGCCCCGCCCCAGCGTGCAGAAGCAGCTGCAGGGCCAGGCGCGGTGCAGGCTCGCCGGCAGCAGCACGCTGTACGTGGCGGGCCGCAACGGGCTGCAGTCGGCGGTGCAGCAGTCGGCGCGCGGCGGCAGCCGCCACGTGCAGGCCAGGTGCGTGATGGTGCCACGCACGAGCCACACAACGCGTGTAGCTGCCCTCCTGGCAGCCGTTCCAGTGGCGCGGCCTGCTCAGCGCCGCTGCCGTCACCTGCGTGCGCTCCGCTCCCCACCACGCCGACGCGTGTCGGTTGCCAGCCCACCCTCGTTGCAGCTTGCCTGACACCCAGCTGGGTCCCGGTGCAGGGCGCCGCCGCGCATGTGCGGCATCATCGGCGTGTTCAAGCACGAGGGGGAGGCGAATGTGGAGATTTATGAGGGCCTGCTCATGCTGCAGCACCGCGGCCAGGACTCGGGTGCGTGGCGCCTGTGGCGGGCCGGCAGGCCTGCCTGGACCGCTGGCCGGCGGCCCATGCGGGGCAGGGGAGCGGACGGGGGCCTGCATGGCTGCGCCTGGGGGCCCCCATCCGCCTGGCGCCTGGCGGCCCCCAGGCAGTTCTGCACCGGCATGCATGCAGCGTGCATCCGGTGCTGGTGTTGCCATGTGTTGCCTGCCCTCTCTGCGTGCCGTGCTGCTCCCGCCTCGCCAGCTCCTAACCGTGCTGCTTCCTGTCCCCCTCCCGCACGCTCCCGGCCGCTGCTGCCACCTGCAGCCGGCATGGTTTCCACCGACTGGCGCAAGTTTTATGAGTACAAGGCCAACGGTCTGGTGAAGGATGTGTTCAGCCAGCAGAGCCGCCTGGACACGCTCAAGGGTGGGCGCCGGGCTGCCGCGCCGCGGGTGCAATGCCTGCGTGCCGGGCCGGGCGTGGGCAGGTTGGAGGTGGCTGGAAGGGATTGGCAGCAGCGGGCACCACCTGCGGACACGCGGCCGCCGCCGGGGCCCGCGCAAAAGCCCTCTCCCCACCCGCCCCCGTAAACCTGCCCGCGTGCTGCCTGCCCCCGTGCTCCCCCCCTGCCTCCCGCCCCGCCGCAGGCTCTGTGGGCATCGGCCACGTGCGGTATCCCACCGCGGGCTCCGCCTCGGCCCAGGAGGCCCAGCCCTTCTTCGTCAACTCCCCGCTGGGCATCTACATGATCCACAACGGCAACCTGACCAACTGCGACCAGCTGCGGCAGCTCCTCAACTCCTCCACCTCCTTCTTCAACCGCCACCTCCGCACCGACTCCGACTCCGAGGTGGGCCCTCTGGCAGTG